GCACGTGTGTGTGTGGGGGGGTCTTACAACCACAGAAAGACAGGCTCTTGATTTTAGCAAATGGGTTAGAATATCCTGGCTGCAAGTCACAGCTGGGTTATCCTAATGAGAAAGAGTTTATTTTCAAGGTACATGGAATCCTAGTTTATTCAATTGGATCTAGGTTCTCATCATTATGCTGATCCTTATCTTCCTATTGCTACATCTCAGTATGCCAGTCATATGCTCTATTTGTTTATTTATTTATTTAGAAGGTGGAGTGGTGAAATTAAGGAAACGTCTATTTTTATTATATTATTTTCACTTCTAAGAACAATATTTAGCAATTATTTTTACTAGAATTGTTTTTAGCATCCAGAGGAAGTGTTCTAAAATTTGATAGTCAACGTTGCTTCTTCTTTAATTTTTCGATGACTTACATTTCCAATAAAAGTTCAAGACTACAAACATCCTCATGTACTCTGTGCTCCTTTTACTGGCCAATTTGTTGTTCCTCAAACACACCAGGCACTTTCACATTTTTTTTGTCATTGTGGGATATTTTTCCAATTTTTTCAATTGTAAATTCAACAAATCAGTTAAACAGTTTTCTCTTTAAAAATACTTCCCTCAAAATCTTGACACTGCAGCAGCATTAATTGCATAGTATTTTGTCTTTATGAATATTACATTTTATTTTGTAAAATAAATCATTAGACTTTTAAAAGAAAATGTCATTTGCTTTCTTTTCTATTCCCTATAATCCTAATTCATATGTAGTAAACACTCAATTTACTTTTATCAAAATTAATTTTTACAGGACATGACTAAAAATCTCACATTTAAAATGATTTATCAATATGGAAGTACTTTATGCCTACTGGCTTTAATCAAATATAATTTCATTTAGATGTACATTGAAAAGTAAAATATAAGGTATAGTAATAGATATTTGGTTTAATTATATAATTAATCTTTGCATAGATATATGCTATATTAATCCTTTTTATTCTGACCCCTATTCCACAAAAAATCACACTGATGTTTAATAGTAGTCTGTATGCAATTAATTTAATATTTTGCTTTTGATAACATCATGACATGTTTATCTGGCATGGACTTATGAAAAAATATTGAAAATCTACTTAATTTTTCTTTATTCAGTGATTTAGATTATAATTCTGTAGAAGCTAGAGATTATTTCACTATGATGTCACAAAGAGGTCTTCGTTAGTGTGTTTTTGACACATCAGAATTATCTCTGTTACTATGTAAAGGTCATAGAATATAGTGATAAATAATGCTGAAAGTTATTTCTCATAATTTGGAAGTTTTTCAAAATGTTAATTCCAAGGCTAAACATGCTTAATAAAATTGTAAGACATAAAATCTGAAAAATTAATGTGGCTGCAGAATTTAAAGGGAGGATAAATACTAATATTTAGCAAATATCCGTTAAGAGTCTTTAGAAAACTCTAAAAGCAGAGAATCAATTAGAAAGTTTCTCAGCTAAAAGATAATGGGTTGGACTGGAGTAGTAGCAGTGGATATGGGTAAAATTGGACATATTTAAGAGAAATGTAAGAAATAGAGTTATGAAAAGTTTCAAGTACAATTCATTACTGGTTCAGAGTTTTGTAAGCCCCAAACCAACTATATTAAACATCTAGTTACATGAAATAAATTAAAAGTTGTTTTGTCCAATAAGCTCCATTTTCACAGCTCATTTACCAGTTATCTCTTCCACTTTCAATCTTTGTTCAATTTCAAATACCTTTCAAAGGTACTTAGCCCTTAAAATTAAGCAAAAACAATTTAATGAATGACCAAAGTAGTAAAAGAAAAGTGGTCTCATCAGAAACTCACATATTTAATCACATCTTAGTAATTGTTTAATTGTCCTTATGGTCCATTTTATTCCCTCCTTCTATCCATGTTTATAATTCACTATGAATCAATTCATGCAATAGCTCAAAAAGTGGTACATAAATCATTTCCTCTTCTAAATTTTCAGTGTTTCTACATGAGCAACTGTTATGGTTTGTATCTGGATGCCTCTCCCCCCAAAGCCTCATGTAGTCGTAGGGCTTTTTCAGAGGTGACTGAATCTAGACTGTGTGATGATGGGATTAAGGGCTTGTAATTACTAAATCAGTCCACCGATTGGTTTGTCATTGCCATAATCCTGGTAGTGTGGATAAGATAAAAGGGACACAAAGATGCTGTTAAGGTCCCTTGTTTTCTTTCTTGCTTTTGCTACCACGTGGGCATCATGAACTGTTTCTTCTTTGCAATGCCCCTATGCCATGTGCCTCTCTGGCTTGGAGCCAGCCAATTATGGACTTAAACTTCTACAAACTGTGAGCTAAATAAACCCTTCCCCTTTTAATTTGGATGTGAGGTATTTTGTCGTAGCAAGGAGAAAAAAGTAACTAAGACAACAACTAACACAGTTTCTCAAATACCATCTCATTTCCTCTGTCAATAAAGAGGACAGGCTGACATGGTCAAGGGATCTTCATAAAAGTCAAGCTCTAATTTGTTATACACAGTTTCAGAGAGTGAAAAAAGGAACAGTGAATGGTGTGAGGAATAAGTTTTGTATTCAGTGATGGGACAAAAAGTTTGGAAACAAATGCATTAGGAACAAGTTTTCTAACTAGTATCAAAAAGACACTAACACTATTTCATAAATAACATTAAACCACAAAGAGTTCATTTTGGACAAAGGAACTACAGAGAACTTAGCTTGTCAAACACATTTTGCTTTTGAAAATTAATTTTTGGTTCATAGCTGAATATTAGTTTTACACATAAAATTTATAATATATAACAAATAAATGAGGTGGATATATTCCTCATGATTTTTCAAGAAATAACTGATTGTGCTTAGGTTTAGAGTTCTGCCTATATAGCAGAAAACAAAATAACACAAATGTGTCTTATGAAAATGCACATTTTTAACTTTAATATCATCCAAAATTTGGTGATGGTATAAACATATAACAGGAAAGCACCAATGACAGACTTATATTTAGAATTGTGGTACCTTTATAAATGACATTTGGTATAGAGATATTCTTATTTCAAAAGCCTACCGTTAATGTTCAGCAATTAGATACCTCTGAAACATGATTATAAGCAAACATACTACCACATGTGATTTCTTTCTGTATTAATGATAAAATAATACCTTAAAGTCAAAGAATAAAATTCTTTCTTTTTTAATTTTAATTTTAATCTATATTTTAATGTGGACAGCGGATACTGTAAGAATCCCAAAGTTTTCACAACTAGTTAAGAAGACAATGGGTGTATTCCCAGGATTCCTGTTCTTTATTCTTATCAAAATCAAAATAATTAAACATGATTATTGAATTCTGAAAATTCCAAGAAAAAGTTGAAATTTTACAAAAAGTTTGTAAGCATAATTTCCTCTAGGTAATTCACAATTCAAATGCTCTGGGAACTAGCTTTTCAGCTGATGTACCTGACAAAAAGACAAACCAGAAGTCTGACTACAACTACCATTTCATTCTAAAAGACCACCATAAAGGAGTACCAGAGAAGTCATTTGCTGTTAGATACACTTGCAACTTTTTATGAGAAAAATCTGCCCCACACACAAACGGGCAGAATGTGATAGCCCTCATCACAGACAGGTGAACCGTGCTTGGTTTGTGATCTTTGGCCTAGGACTTCTAGCTTGATATTAAAAAGATGTATAGGGCCAGCTAGATTCTTTCTCATTAATTTTGAGAAAATTCTGAAAGAATATGTCATCGTATGGGAACAGATGTTGAAAAGTTGTCATGCTATAAGTAAAAAAGTATAAATTTATACAGAGGCAGAAATGAGACAACTGAGGAAGCTTCTCAGGTTTTGGGGCGAACATGTTTAGTTGTCTGTTCAACAGCCATGTACTGTTCTTTTTTCACTGATAAAACTCTGATTTTGTTTGTATAGTGAGTGATGTCATAAAGATTGAATTAGTCAATAATGATATTAAGGTTATTAATATATTCTTTTACACATTTTCTATGATTTTTAAATTTATATCAGTAAAAATTAAATAATTTAAAAATGACTAACATAAATTGCCTTTTCATTAATGAATCATGAAAAAATACAAGGTTTCTGGAACTATTTATTGTTCAGGATGGAACAGCATGGCAATGTGAAACTCATGAATTTAACAGACTGAAGTACATCAGAAAACTTTAAAAATTATGTTGAATATGTATGAGAAATTGATATTTTGTCTAAAGTGATATTGTCATAGTGTAGAAAAATCTATTTCTCATAAAAAGGAACAGTAATAAAAATTAAAGAAGTAGATCATTTATTTTATGCTCAAGGCTATGTTTTAAGAGAATAAAAAAGTATTTACTTCACCCTGTTACAGTATTATAATCAAAATCTGAGTTATACTTCTGAGGTTATGATCTTATAAGAAAAGTTTCATAATCCTGTGAAATTCCATACTAATCTGGCATGAGTTAATCATCTGAGCATCACATGGAGCCTCAAGCCCAACTGTTACCAATGTATTTAGATGTTTGCATTTGTCTCCTTGATTCTTTAGGTTAGTAGTATCAAATTCCTATATTGGTAGTTGAATTACCATGCTGTATCTCAAATCAATGAGAACTTTTCCCATTGACACATAGTTCTCCTGAATGGAGGATAAATTGGCTGAAAAAGAAGAATAAAGGAGAAAATGCTGATTTATTAAATCCAGAAAAGACTGGTTCTATTTGTTCTTATGGTTTTCCCATCATTAGAAGTTTCTTTTAAATACATGGTGTAAATTATTGAATTGTAAAGGTTAGAAAATATGAGGTTCATAATCCCAGAAGAGACCACTGATGGCACAGATGCTCTACTACATAGCCACCCTTCACTCCTAAGAAGCTCATTAATAAAAGGCTCTTTATATTATAAAATGAGTTATGTTCACTATTATACTGTTTCCAAAACTTGCCAGCATAAGCATATAAATTAAAAGATTAAAAGCATACCAGATACAGCAAGGAAATCATCAATGCTTGTAATGTCATCCACGGCTTCAGTAAGAACATGTATGTAATTTTCCCATGTGTGCTTGTACATTTCCATGGTGTTTTTCACCACTTGACTTTTGGGTCTTGCAGCCAAAGCAAGGGCAGAATTAATAATCTGTAAAGATAAAGAATATTTATACAGTGACTTATTCATAAATAATTACCAATGTGTAGAATGCTAGGTATTCTTTCTTCAAAATGTTACATACATTCATTCTTAATAACAGGGTAAATGGTAAAACACATCTTTTCTCTTTGCTTTTGGTAATATTTTATTTTCAGCAGTAATTTAATTTAAATATTTATTAAATATTATTACCAATGGATTGCAGGAGATACAAAGATAATTTATGTCTGCCTTTAAAGAGCTTAAATATTACTCAATGAGGAGGGATAACATATAACTATAACTTCATTCTGTATATTATAAATGCTATAAGAACAAATAATAATCAATAGACATTAATGAGCACAGAGATCACCTTCAACAGAGGTGCTAAGGAAATAATTTAGGGAAGAGTAACATTTTAACTGGGCATCTGGATTCACATTGGATGATTAGGTATGTAGTGAATGTACTCCATATGCAAATCACTAAAATAAGAGCTTTGACTTACATGAGGGCTTAGAGATACTTCACTAGTAGATAATCTTTCATATATTCATTCATTTATTCATTGCATATTTAGAATATGTACCAAGTAACTTCTATGTATCAAACACTCTCCCTAGATTTTAGGAATATGGCAATGAAGAAGACAAGAATAAAAATCACCACGTTCCTGGAGTTAATATTCCAGTCAGGGAGATAGGCAATTATCAAGTCTAAGGGAAATATATACTCTGTAAGATGGTTGTGAGAAACTAAGAATGAAATATAGGGTAGACAAGGATAAAAAGTAGAATGGTGGAAAGGGTAGGACATTTACAATTTTAGGAAGGTCTTGTATTTAGGCACAAGTTTGAATAAAATCATTAGTGAGAAAGAATTTGGGGACAGAGCAGTTTAAAGATTCAAAAAAGTACAAAAAATAGGAACTTCTGTGAGAATGATAAGCAGTCTCATCTAGATCCTGGGTATACATAAGGGACCAGCAGGAGCCCGACTGTCCTGCTCAGGACTGTGGTCTTATTTAGAAGGGACTGGAGAGTCATGTCGACTTAAGGGCAATTTGCTCAGAACTACTGATTTTCAGCAAACATAGGAATCTATTGCAAAAGGTTGTAGGAGTGAGAAAGAGTCTGAACTATGATGGTGAAGGTAATGAAAAGGGCTTCACAGGATTTTCAACTAATTAAATATATAGCTAGGTTTAAGATTATTGTCAGGAATAGCATTCAGCCATTAACAAATCTACAGAATACAATACTTAAAGACAAGACAATAAAAATGAATAGTAGATTATAAGACATTATACTTCATAAGATGCTACTTCTACATATGAAGTAGATGTAAATATGCTATGAATAATTATAAAAGGTTCTCTCTGAGTGTTGGTCTTTCAAGTGGTTTTTCTTTTCTCTTTATGAATTTTTCAGATTTTCTAGTATGTTTTTATATACTCAAAGAAATGAAGTTACTCATCAAAGAAAGATGATTTTTTTTCAAAAGAAAATGATAAAATGATTCTTAGTATCATTTAAAAAGTTCAAGTCAGCAAGTTAGAGTCAAAGTTGTAGGGGCCAACATGTGAAACTGTTTTGGAAGACACAGGTGATGACAGGTGTTAGGTGTGAACTATCCTGTTACAAAGGTTGACTTGGAAGTAATTCTTTGCTTTCCATGTGTAGGGAACCACTTGCTGCTTGAAAGGCCAGGGTGTCTGAGGACCCATAAGGACATGACCCCACCTGGCATATGTGCAAAATGAGACACACTTAAGGATGACTCAGCATAGACTACCGCACTTGAGTTAGGAGGTTATGTAAGATCACAATGATGTAAGGCTATTTAATGGCCTACATAAGGGCAGAAGAATAAAGAAGTTTGCTCTTGTTGCTATTGCTGATGTCAGGTCCATGTGCTTTCTTTTACTTGAGAACCTCACCTGTGAAAGTACCCCTTCAGCCCCTCAACCCCCAAATCATACAAAATACAAAGTGTAAAATCAGAGACGTGCATTTTAAAAAAAGTTTTATTCATTTACAATTCCTTTGTTCAGGTCTTGAGGCATGTGAGGCCTGGTTACTATGTAGTAATACTATCATCATAGTTTCCGTCCTAAAGCTGTAATCTACTATGGAAATCAGACCAAATGTAGGCAATTGTAATCTATCAATGATGCTGGCTGTCCTATATTAGGATCACCTGGAGACCTTGTTAAGACAGGTTCCTGAGCCATTCCCTTGGAATGTATAATTCAGTTGATCTGGGATAGGGCTTGATAGTTGGCTTTTTTAAGAATTTCAAGAGTACTGGCCTAGAGATCATACTCAGAACCCCTATGAAGTACAATGATAAATTCTATAACATGTAGCCATCTCAAGGGTCCTCATACACATGGGAAAGTCATTCCCCTACACAATGAGAGCTGTCCCAAAGACTTAAAATCTGAAAAATATGTGCAAAGTATAGGAAAAATGATAATATCTTTATCAGGAGGGACAGCAATAACGTGCATAGAAGTAGGAACAAGATAGAGTCCAATCCCACCTCCTGGAGAACCCTGAGCCAGAGGAGATAGTAATAGCTCTGGAAGAAAACCAAAAATGAAAATGAAAACATGAAGGAGAGAAAATACTTCTGGAAATTACCAACACATTGGAGGAAAAGATCAAGGGGAGGCGATAAATATAAGATAAGTAATCATAAGAGGAAACAGTGTAAAATTATGGTATTAAAGGTCAGAATATGAAAATCTTTTCAAAACGTCAAGCACTAAAGGAGAGTCAACAATAGTGAGAACTGAAAAAATGGTCTTTGAATTTGAAAAATGAAAGTCACTGGTATAATTTATTGGATATAGCATTCAGACTTCTCCAAATATAGTGGCAAAAATAAAAAGACATCTTTTTTACTCAGAAACTTAAACACTGCACCTTACTTAAATGACTTTCAAGAAATTATTGGAAGTGAAGGGAGAAATTAGTTGGCTAAAATATGTTGATATTCTCTTCTTTTATTTCTTTTTTATGGAAGAAGAACACCTTAAATTTTAAGGAAAATACACACTATGTTTAGAAATAACTATTGTGCAGTGTTCCTCGATTTCAGTTTTAGTGTGTCATTAACCTATTAACTTACAATGTACCTTTGTGTACTCTGCAAAATCTCTGGTCTCTGGTGTTTCACTGTTCTGGAAAATGGACAACTATGTACACATGTGGCCAAGCTGAAATTATGCCTTCACAGTCAGGCACACTTTTAAAGTACTGGTGCAGAATCCTCAGTAGAGGTATGAAGTAATGAATATAAGACAGACTATATTTTTTAAGAACATGTTCAGTTCTTCTGTTGATCCAGTTTACCTGATTCAACACTGCACTGCTTTAGAAAACTCTATCCTACTTGACTCTCCTGATAATTAGCTTAACTATAAAGCAGACACAATACAGAAGATGCACTACTGCTTTATAAGGCAGAAGAAATCTTTGCCCTAATGTCACACACTTAGCATTTCAGCTATGCAACCTGAGGGGGAAAAAATGACCTTTCTTAAATGTTTTTCAAGCATAACTAAAGATTTTCAAAATAAATTAGCTTGCTTTCTGAGGTATTTTTTCTTTAGATTATAGTTGAGATGAGTACACATTAGAAATATTTTGGCCTTTGCCAATTACCTATTTGGCCAACTCATATTTAAAAGTCACCTAAAATTAAACCTTTTATTTACAGCTTAACTGTTTCAATATCATTATAAATAATTTCTTTCAGTTGCTTCTTCTCCAAGTCATTATCCTTATTACAAACACATTTGTTTCTCCCTTGCAAAAGAAATCATGCCTCCTTGTTCTTGCCAATAGCTTTTGATACAATCTTAGTTGAGTAAAGACAAAATCCAAATTTCTTTTCACTAACATCCTCCATGGGTTCACCCTTACGAATAAGTCATTCTGCTAAATAATCCTCTTCAGTTTAGCTTATTATTCCATCCATAATATTTTCAACTCTGTTTCCTGATTATATTCTGGATCTTCATATTTCTGTGACTTTGGTTTTATTACCGCATTTGACTTAATGCTCCTGTTAAGTTCTCCTCCCTACTCTAGTCCATTTGAAGAAACAATTTTTATATCTAAAAACTTCTAAAAATGTCACATATACTATGAAGCCAAGCCCACTCCCAATACCCAAAAAACTATATTTTCTTCTCTTTCATGCTTTAAAAGTACTTTGTCTATACAACTAAATAGTTATCTTATTGCATGATTATTTAGACACATATGCTCTTGGAGCGCCTTCACAAGAGAGACAATGTCTTAATCATCTTTGTTTCTTATTTAAGATGTAAATCATAAAAACTTCTATATTTATAAACCCTCCTTAAAAAAACTATTCTGCCCACTGGCTTGTTATCACTTTCTTCCTCTTTCAACCAGTTTAGGGCATAGATGGGTTCCTCACTGAAGAACAGTTAATCTGTAGACTGGCTGGCAATTGGTTATGGAGTAGGATATAAGGTTGAGCTCTTTTAATCTCTTGAAATTTTTAACTGTAATTTATGAAGAAACCTTTAATTAGAGCTAGAAGTCAAAGATATGCATAGAGAGAAGCCATCTAGTAAAATCAGAGCTGCAGTGGGCTGATAAAGCTAAAGCCATGGTAGAATTATACAAAAGCAAAGTTGTAAGTAAGGAGAAACCATGAGTAGATCAAAGGTATGAAGTAAAGACTGTAAAGTAAAATAAGCCACGGGATGGCAGGAGGAGAATGGAGAACAAATGTATGAATCATAAACACTAACACTGAGAAAAGTATACTCAGAGGAAAAATAATAAGTGAAAATGGACTGTTTTGGAGAGCATCCAATTTTGATTTAAAATTCCACAGACATGATAATAGCAATTATAATAAATACTAACACTCAAAGTTCACACTGTATACTGAAAACTGTCCTGAGCACTTTCTACACATTAAGCCCTCTAATATTTACAAAATCACAATGAGGTAAATGC